AGCCGATGGTCCAATGCCTGAAATCACGAATACTATGACAGAGGACACGGGACTAGATACATTCCACAACGTTTCCCTGACGCTCCGACCAAGTTGCGAAAACAAGGTCAAACCAACACTACTTCACGTGTGCCATTTTGAGTGGATTTACTGAGACCTTATCCTCCTCACTGGTTCCCTCATCCCCCTCATTGGGCTGGGAGTGTTGATCAGAGTTTGCTCTTTCAGTCCACAATCCTCTTCATCCAGGTCCTATCGGAATTTTCTTCTTGCCCTATACTATCCCTCTTCCTGGTTTTACTTGGTCACCGCCACCATCTCCGTGCTACTCGAGGTATTTTATGCTACACTGTCTCATTCCTTCGATAGCAAGTATACTTCAGCTTCACTGATCAGGCCTCTAAAGTATGGATTCTCAAGCTGGATGGAAAATAAACTTAATGCTACAGATTCCCTTATCACTGTTTGGAATGTGTATCCGGTGAATCTCGTGGTCAAGGTATTGCTTCAGCGACCTCGTCCATGATCAAATCTGTCGACTTTTGGTTAACTTTCTTTGGTATCCCCCGTATATTTTGCACTTTTATATATGATGCTAAGTCTATGACTTTCCTATGCTCTAGTCTCTTGTGCGCCAACCCTCAAATGCTTTTTTTTCTACTTGCTTTCATTAGACTCACTGTAGATGTTTATTGATTTTCTATTGTTCTTTTGTGGCCTTTCATCATGTTTCCCCCTACTAAAGGCCACATTATCTTGGCCTTCACATCCTATATCATAGTTTATTTGAGCATGTATTCAATGCTCTGCTTTAATTCAATAATCTATCAAATGTTGATGTTTTTATAATGAGTGTGCATGTCTCTCCTCCCTCCCTTTCCATCATTCTCATGCAGGTGGGCCATGGACCTTGGCCTGGGCTCCTGCTTACTCCGTCACCCTGAAATGGCAGCCGATCTCATCTCTTCCGCTCGTCAGATAGCTCCTCGATGGATATCATCTGCCTTTGATCATACATCAGCTCGCTATCTCTTTGGATCTAATGGGGACACTTGTGCCACTGAACCGACCGATTTATTCGAGTCGCATAAAGCCGGTCCCGACTCCAGTATCTTGCCATTCCGCAGGTGCACGAATTTAGGCCTGGCCGAGGATACAGGACTTCCTAATAAAAGTATACAATGCGGGAGTAGAGCACGCCTGATAAAACATGTAATTGAGAAGGAAACTCGTCCGTTTTCAATTAGCGCTAAGATCAGGTTCGGTACTGGCCTGGGTCCAAGAGCCTGTGGCGGCTCTTCCGAACAAGTTGGTCCAGAGAAGTTATAATTTTTCCCATTATTTTATTTGCCACATTGAATTGCTGCGTTTAGTTACTAGTTTGGTCTATTTTACGTAGATTATTTCCTTTCCTTGGCTATAATCATTAAAATCGCCATTCTCTAGATGAATATTATCAAGTTCTAAGGCCGATTTATATTCAACGAACAGAAAAGGTCTACTTAAGAGCTGTATTCACCCTATTTCGTTTTAGGTGTTGAAGTACTGGTAGTTGAATTCTCCCACGATGGTATGAGTAGGCCCCATGTTTCCATTAAATTCAGTATAGCCTTCCTTCCTAAAAGATATTCTTATCCAGACTGAAGTGGACTGCAGTTTTTACTTCGCCAGAGTCTCATCGGAATTCCCAATGAGACTCGAACTTGAGTTGCTGTAGATCAGCGTATAGTCTCGACACAAGCCACTACGCCACACTGCTACGAGTGATCATCATTTCTATAAGTTAAAACTCCATAATTTGTTTAAAACAATCGACATTACCTGTCTAGATGAGAATACAGTCTTGGAAGCAAGGCTGTTAGAATTCAATAAAAGCATGAGGCCTAATTATATCATTATTGGTAGTCTAAATAATCTGCCTATAAATAGAGAAGAAAAGGGCTACTTTTGAATTTTTACTTAGCATACTATAACTATTATAAGATGTATTCACCCTATTTCGTGTAAGGTGATGAAGGACTGGTAGTAGAATTTTCCCACAATGATA